CAAATCTTCATTCTGCATCAATAATTTCAAACTTATTGCTTGTTGGACAGTAAGAAGTTTGAAATTATTGATGCAGAATGAAGATTTGTCCTCCATTCATATATCCTCATGAGGATATTCCATCAATTCCAGTGGTCTCTTGAACTTGGTTCTTTCTCTATGGGGCCTATTCCAATCATATTAGCCTCCTGGCTTGCAATTTTCCTGGGGTGATGGATTTCATAGCAGATTGTCAGTCTCTGTCCTCACTTTCTCCTGACCAAATGGATTCTCCATTGTGCGGTTTTCTGGCAGATTTCTTCTTAGTTTGGGCTTTCAATGATAGCTTTTGCCGCAAATTGATACTCAACTACAAGCTTTGGAGTCTCCACTACCTCATACTCAGACTTGGATGGTAGGTGCATTCAGTCCTGCTTGGATGAGATTGCTTATCTATGACTTTTCCTCACATCATTTTCTGACTATATTTTAATCCTCTACTTGCGAGATGTTGCTAGCCTAGATTGGCCCAGCCTAGCCATGATGAGTCCACCTGCATCTTCCTCTTTGGTTATATTTATTGAGGCATCCTCAACCCCACATTCTACACTAAGACTTTTTCCAGTTCATTGGGGTTTAACATCTACAGTTGCCTGGGGTGTACCTCACAAGGAGTTTGTACCCACTTTACCAAACATGTTCACCATATCTTGTTTTGCCCTGTTTTTTACTAAGGTTTAACTTCGTCTCCTGTCGTTTAGGACAGACAACTTTTTCATCTCCTTTTAGTTATCCTAAACATAAGAAGGTTTTGGACTTCCCAGTGCTATCCAACCTTCTTCCCAAATGGCCTTTTTCCATTACTTATTCAAAATATTAAGGCGGTACTACATGCCTTGTCTTGACAACCAATCAAGCCTTTAACCTCATGTAGCATGTATCACCTCTCCCTTATAGGATATTTTGTTGTTGCTGACATGCTGATGTCATTGGTTGGAGTTGTTGAAATGTTTGTAGAACTCTTTATCTCTCCCTTTAAGTCCTTCTATGCCCTTTCTTTCTAAGTCTCTGGCCACCAGGGAAGGGGATACATCCATCTCCACAATTCTTTTGCCAACTATTTCTCATCGCCACAGTTGATCATATGCTGCTCATTTGTTTTGCTCTGTCAAGCCCAGAGGTGTTATGTGGGTCACTGTAACTCCTTTCATGGTGGTAGTTCTTGTCTATATATTCTTTGGGGTACTTTGGTTTCCAAAGATTTATCGTCACTTCCTTGGAGGTGGTTTTGCAAATTTCCAGGTTGCATATTCTGGATTTTATAGGCGAGTAATCTTCTGAGAGTTACATCTCATCAGCTTCAGCACATTTTATGTCTTTCACTGTCCATTTCTTTGATTCACTGGGGGACATTTTATGGTCCCATATGTGGACTTCTCCTAATGCTTTTCTCTCACATTCTTTATATGATCTGGAACATTTTTTCTGGGGTTTTTCCACTACCCCCATGGCTTTTTAACAATATCTGCTAGATTACATGGAGGAGAAGGGAGTAATCTAATCTTGTCTTTCTTTTTTTAGGGTCTCTTACATCTTTCTATCACCGGATCCCACTCTATGGTGAGTGTTACCCAGACAGCTGTGCTTTTATCAGTCCATTTCCACACTAGCAACCCATTTGACTATACTTAATTCTGGTTGCAACAGGCTCTGTAGAAATGAGGTGTTCCTTAAGACCATCTAGGCGCATTACCAGATCGTGTTACCATATTATCACGGACTGATACTCATGGACTATCGTGAATAAAGCTGAAGGGGATTCTGCCTGTCCCTGCTGATCATCGGATTGAATAAATCTTGGTTGGTTTGCTTTTAAAAATTTAGGGTACTTGGTTCACCTGTTGCACTGTTACCAGAGCACTGTTCCTCAGGGCTCCCCAATGTGCATTACCCCCAGTTTCTACTAGTGAAGCTAGGGAGTTCTTACTACACCGAGTTTTCAGTTGCTGGAGTGGTGGACAAAGGCTTTTCTTCCAGACTGTTCAAGTGTGTTCCTCCACTCTTGGAGAAGAGTGCGAAGCTGGGGACCCTCCTATCCTGGTGCCTGGATGTATTTCCCAGATTTTGTGGGAACCTACTAATAATACTGGTTCAAATTTGAACCTACACTATCCAGTTGTAGTGTGCTTGGCCCTTCCTATGTCAGGTTGTATATTGTTCATGGATGGAGGTTCACTATCTCCTCATAAGTCCAAATGCAAAGTGGTCTCATCCTAGGTTCTTGGTCGAGCACAGTGTTCCCCGTCCTCTCCATAATTCCATGGGGCAAGTGGAATGCTTCTTACCCACTCGGTTGAAGAGTGAGGATGAATATTCATAATTCCAGACTGGATGAGTTCTGTTTATTTGGTTGAGTAAGGCATGTATGATCCCATCATTCCTAGTTTGGGGTGGTACCTTTTGGATTTTTTCAGGTGGAAGAGAAAGTTTGTCCATTTCATAATTCTGGTGGTTTGGAAAACATCACTCTATGGCTACAGGTTGGGATCCAATCAAAAATATATCTATATATCACATTGTGATCCAATTGCACTAGACACCGACATGGGATTTAGGGACCATGATCCCTTAATTTCAACCCTGATTTGTGGAACCTCAGCTATCTGGTTGGGGCTGGCCTACAATAATTACTCATGTGCTATTCCACCCTTGATACCAATATTATGTATTGGTTGAAGAGCATACATGTTCTGGATGTTGTTCAGTTTCCCCACTTGGGTACCACTCTTATCTTGGTACACCCCTGTTCTATACAGACACTTTCTTTCTGGACAATGCCCTCACTGGCCCCTCCACCTTGTCAATGTGGGATTATAGCCAAAGTGGCAGCAGAGGGTACGTATGTTTTGGAAGTTAACATTTTCTTAAATTGAAAATGTATTTTCAATAATACTTACCTCTGCTGACACTCTCCCTCCCTTCCTGCTCACTAAGAGCTGGTGTTAGTGACTGGGATGATGCAAGTCTAGAAAAAGTGATTACATTGTCTGAGTGAGGTATTATATACAGTGTCAGTATAGAGGGTACATTGACATAGGTGGAGGGATTTGCAAATTAGATATTGCCAAGGGCCCTTAATTGGGGTATAAAAAACTGGAGCATGTGAGAACAATGCTTAGATAGGCAAAGCCTATGTCGAGGAGTAGCTAATGTGTCAGCAGAGGTAAGTATTATTGGAAATACATTTTAAATTTAGGAAAATGTTAACTTCTGTTCATTCTGAAGTAGCAACAATGTTGCATGTGTTTTTTATTTATTAGAACTACCAATAATGTTACATGTGTTTTTTATCTGTGTATTCTGAAATAACCACAATGGTACTTTTTCTGTTTATTTTGAAGTAGCAACAATGGTACTCGTGTTTTTCTGTTTATTCTGAAGTAGAAACAGTGTTGCATTTGTTTTCCTGTTTATTTTGAAGTAGCAACAAGGGTTCATATTTTTTCTGTATGTTTCGAAGTAGTAACAATGGTACTTGTGTTTTTCTGTTTATTCTGAAGTAGCAACAATGGTGCATGTGTTTTTTATCTGTTTATTCTAAAGTATCCACAATGGTACTTGTGTTTTTCTGTTTATTTCGAAGTAGCAACAATGGTGCATGTGTTTTTCTGTTTATTCTGAAGTAGCAACAATGGTGCATGGGTTTTTTTATCTGTTTATTCTAAAGTATCCACATTGGTACTTGTGTTTTTCTGTTTATTCTGAAGTAGCAAAAATGGTGCATGGGTTTTTTATCTGATTATTCTAAAGTATCCACAATGTTACTTGTATTTTTCTGTTAATTTCGAAGTAACCGCAATGGAACTGATGTTTTTCTCTGTATTCTAAAATGACAACAATATTGCATATGCTTTTTATCTGTTTATTCTGAAATAACCACAATGGTACTTTTTTCTGTTTATTTTGAAGTAGCAACAATGGTACTCATGTTTTTCTGCTTATTCTGAAGTAGAAACAGTGTTGCATGTGTTTTCCTGTTTACTTTGAAGTAGCAACAATGGTTCATATTTGTTTCTGTTTGTTTCGAAGTAGTAACAATGGTACTTGTGTTTTTCTGTTTATTTTAAAGTAGCAACAATGATTCATGTGTTTATCTGTTTATTCTAAAGTATCCACAATGGTACTCGTGTTTTTCTGTTTATTTTGAAGTAGCAAAATGGTGTTTGTGTTTTTCTGTTTATTCTGAAGTAGCAACAGTGGTGCATGTATTTTTCTCTGTTTATTTTGAAGTAGAAACAATGGTACCTATGTTTGTCTGTTTATTCTGAAGTAGCAACAATGGTGCATGTGTTTTTCTGTTTATATTGTTTATTATTAGGAACAATGGTGCATGTGTTTTTTCTGTTTATTTTGTTTATTATCAGGAACAGTGGTGTATGTGTTTTTTTGTTTTTTTTAAGTAAAAATTGTAAAATGGTTTATTTAATAAATTTCTGTGTTAGAGCATAAAATGTTTTATAATTTTCAATTCAAAAACATTTTTACCCTGTGTTTCTTTATTCGCAGGCTAGGAAATGAAGCTGAATTCAAAATCCTAATATTTTGTCAAGTTTTCAGTTACAGCATAACTTTTAAGCCTCTACAAAACCTTGAGTAGATTATTGAACAGAACCATTTTGAGATGTACCAATGTGATCCCCATTCTTGCAATCACAAAGTCTGTTGTATTCAAATATCTTAACTTAACAACATTTGTAGGTGATGCTTTGAGATTACAGACACAATCCTGAGTTGTTTTTTATGAAGCTTTCTTGCTTAGCAGGTGAATTTTTAACAACTGATAATGTACAGCAATTTTGTATCATAAACACTCCTGACATCATGATTTCATTATGTATTTGTTTTAATTTGTTGTCTTCATCATTTCTTTGTAACTTGCCTGAGTTTTGTGCTACAGGAACACATTTCTTCATGTAATAACTTTTTGACATTTTGCTGCTCCTTTGTTATGAATATAGCTATCATTACATTTTAACTGAGGTGATTAAACAGTGCATTCTACAAAATATATATGTTCAACTATTCCATGAATAAAAATGTTATGTTTTATAGCCTATGTATAAGTTTTTAAAGTAACTAACATTATTCTTTTCATGAACCCAAAAACAGTTCATTGTAATTTACCATGAATTCAAATATATTATAATTCATATAACTTTTAATAATTTTACAAAAAATATTATTTAAAAAATATATCGAACAGTTTCTTAAAACAGATATTCTTTCAGACCTGTGATTTAAAATTATTTAAAATACTTCATAAATAAATATTTCTCTCTGTTAAATATGTAGCTTTCAAATGCACAGTATTTAATCTGAGTTATTCTTTCAGATTGTTATTCCAATGTAAAATATTTAACTTACCAAATAATTATTCAGTTACTTCATTAATCAAAGTTTTGCTCCAGGTGCCAAATTATTTAACATACTGCACATGATTTTTTATGTGAGTTATTCCTTCAAACTGTTGTTCCGATGTAAAACACTTAAATTACTGAAGACTTCATTTGGTAATTCATTCTTCCAATATGATACCTTACCACTACTCACATAATAGCTTTTCCTGATTATTACTGCCCTCTATGTGCCCAATTTTGCTCACCAGTAGTCTTGATACTCACACTTACCTCCACGTGTTTTGACCTGCTACAGCTGCACTGTAACATACAAATAAGCATGCGACACCTCTCCACCCATAGGAGTGTGACACACCCTCGTACTGCAGCTTACTCACTCTGTGCTATAAAACCCAATCTTCACTTCTCAATTTGGCACTCGTATATTTGGTTGTATCGCTCACCATTTTTTGAGTCTTGTTTTTGTGGATTTTTTTGTCCCTTATTGGGACTACAATTCTCTGCAATTCATTACTAATTGAGTTTTTTCCGCACATTTTTTTTTCTTATCCCTTTCATGATAGGTCATATGTGAAAGGCCATGTCATCTCGTTTGTTGACTCGCATTCAAAATTTCATTGAACTACTATTTCATGAATTTATTTCAATAAGTTTGGTATCAAATTGTAGATTATAATTCAAATTTTAGAACTATACATCAATTTCTTAATGTAAAAGTAAATAAAAAAAGCACAGATAAACATCGAGTTTTGTGTGTCATGTGGTATGTTGAATGCAGCACTGGTTCAAATTAGATGTTTGTGAAATCAAAATACTAAGTCTATAGTTTTGTACAAATTAGAAACTCAAATTACAGATATTGACAAGCTAGAATATAAAATAACAAGGTCTTATCTATTCTATTTCCCAAGATATTGCTCATGTAATATATCAAACACAGTGGCACCCTGTCCACCTCTTTCCATTTTTGGAAAGGCTCCCTTTATATTCACTTCTATATATGACATGAATAACCAATTGGAAGCTCAGCCTTTCTAACATGACTAGTGCCAATTATTTTTTTTTGAAACAAGATTTCAATGAGGTAGGTTGTGTCTTTAGTCTGCTCAAAATTTCATATATTTTTTTAAGAGTAAAGTACATCTTATTTACTAAGCTTGATAAATTGTAGTTGAATTACATGGTATTGATTTATTAATTTATGATTTTTTAGTTATTCAAATGTATATATCAGACCTAAAAAAATATTTTGTTTCATATCCTCCATGTGCAAAATTTGTAAAGCAGCAACTGAGTACAAAGGTCATAATTGGTACAGATAATTGTTTGCTTTACTACTTTATTTACTATTATATGTTTTAGGAAAAATATTTTTAAGAACTTATTTCAAAATAGCAGTAATCTATATACATATATAATGTATAATAACTGAAATGTGACTGTATTTTACAATTACTAGTCGACTAAAACACAGCCAAGACAAGTTACTTTGTACAGACCAAAGGTCACCTTTATGTTATTTGATACAGTAACACGAGTGTACATGCAGCGCATCATTGTAACTTTTGTATTGTTAGCCAAGCATGGGGAAAGGTCAATATAATAAAAATGATAAATATATATAAAGGTATACTGTTGTGATATTTAAGCTATTTCATCTAAACATATATGTTTTTGTGTTCATTCTAGAATGAAAGAGGCATAATTTATGTTTATTTCCCAATTTTTTATGGTGGTTGTAAGATCATTCAAATCTACCGAACCCATACATAGATTAATTACTGAAAATAACAGATAATATATAAAGTTTTTGTTAAGAAACATTTAATAACTACCTGGACATTATAAAGATTTTGCATATGAAATTTCAAAATTTTCTTGTGCATAAAAGTATTTTTAATTATAAAATGAAAATTACTTTGCATGATAGATAGGCAAGATGTGAAAAGAGAAAAAAGGCATGAGAGAAACATTGCTTTACAAACCGTACTACTTAATGAAAAAATTAGATATTTTGTGTTTGAAAGAATTTTAATGTTTACTGATAATCTACCAAATTTCGTTAACATTTGCTTACTATTTTAACAGTTATAGCATGAAAACTATAACAACCACAAAATGGTTATGAGGTTATCACATTGACCAACCCCATATTGAATGAGTTATTTTACCAAGCCATTGTTTTGCAAACAAGGAGGTTCACTTGTATTGTGTTATGCACTTGTAATATTGTGATGAATTTGCAGTTTAATGTTACTACAACTTCAAATGCTATCCATACCACTGATCAACCACCAGTTACTGTGCTTCTGGCTTGATGTTATCAGCTGAGGAGGTTTTGACCCTCATCTGCCAAGAGTTGGGAAGTTTCATGCAGTCGGAGGGTTCTCCTGAATCTCAACCAATTCTCCCCTACCTGGGGGAGGCTGGGTGGGATGACGAAGATTTGGTCAGTCATTTTCTTCCCCTTTCCTTTGCTGTATAGTCTCGATGAACACCAGTAAATGCACCTCGACCTTAATCTACTTTTCTGGAGGTAGTGAGTCAGGTATGTTATGTTTTTGTCTCTTATGTTGTATGACCCCCCTGTCCTTTTACATGACTCACTTTCTTCAGGTTAGTTTGTTTTCCTCCCTCTCCTGACATTGGGGTCCATGCCGACTGTTTTACCAATCAGTTACATTCAGGGATTAGTATGCCTCATCCCCGATGTACTTCTGAGGCTCACTCATTGGCTTATCATTGATCTGAGAATGCCTTCCTAAACTCTCACTGGTTAGATTCTTTAATCCCTGTTCGTGGTTTGAACCCTGATACCTCAAATCACTTTTCCCAAGCTCAGTTCTCATGCCTTTGTTTAACCCTTACCACTCTCCTTCATTACCTCCTCTATTGACCTCTTATCTGAGGCTATCTATCTTCCCCTGAGGGGTTTTTGGTGGATGCCTGTTCCCTCCTTTTCACCACAGTGATATTGGTTTCTTTGGCTCTTTCCCTTTGCACTTGGCTCCTTTGTTGTTGGGATCTTTTGTATAGAAATGCACTATTAGCCCATGTGCATCTACTCCCACCTCTTTAGGGGACTTGCATATGGCTCCATGTTTTTGCATCAGTCCATTTTTGGGGGTCTATCTGATTCCTTGGAGGCTCATGTGAAGTCTGCTTACTTGTATCATTCCCTGTCGTCCTTTTCCACTCGTTTGTTTCAACCTTTCCCTGTTTCCCATCCCTCTCTTCCACTTCCATGCCTATTCCTTCATCTTGGGTTTTGGCAAAGAGTCTTCATATTAAGCACTGCCAATCCGCATGGCATTAACTAATGGTTTTGGTGACTACCAGGCAAGTACGGGCCCAGTTGGAGCAGAGCTGTTTTATTTTGTTTTTCTTTACTATAGATCCTTGGGTTCTTTAAGTCTTGTCAGAAGGACTCTCTCCTTATTTTATCACCCCTCCTCTCTTATCACCTTTTCCTACTCCAATCATACCTCCATGGGATATCATCTAATGCCAGCATTTTTCCGAGACAGTTCAGGATCTTCTTCTCAAGAGCACTATAGAACCCATTCTTCAATCTCTTCAGGGGTTCTTTTCCTGATTGTTTGTTATCCCCAAGAAGACCGGTGACCTGTTTTCAGTCTTAAACTTGCCATGTCTGAACTGCTACATAGACATTCCTCCATCTACCATAGGGCTTTTCCTGTCTCTTCAATGGGCTTTCATTACACATCTTTGGATGATGAAGGTCGATGTATTGGATGCATGTTTATCAATTCAAAACCATTCTGTTTGGGCTGTCCTTGAATCGCTACATTTTTTATTGTCCATTCCCTTGCAAGAAAGACCAGCATTTTTCATTTCCCATTCTGTTCACCCTTCTTCCTTGTCTGTTTATCAGCATAAAAGGTGTATTTTTCACCATTGCCATAACTCAAGTGGTGTTGTCTGCTATTTTTCATTTTTCCTATTTCTGCAGTGTTTTTTTCCTCTCTGGTTCTATCCATTTTATTTCATGTCTTTCATCCTACCCAACCTACTCCATTGCCAGATTGGAATTTTATTGTTGTCCTACATGCTCTTTCTCACTCTCTATTTGAGCCTTTGTATTCCTGTCCTCTTTACTACATTTTTTTGAAGACTTATTCTTCCTCCTCTTAGCCTGTGGGCATCAGATGTGTCTGCCCTCAGTGACTTGTATCCTCTACCATAGCACTTATGTCATCCTTTATCTTAATTGTTCCTTCCTTCCCAAGACTTCTGCTACTTGAGAGGATAATTTTGCATTAGCTCTGATTTCCCAACCTTTTGCTTCTCATTTGTACTTCCGTTCAGATCTGGATCACATCCTTTGTCCGTTCTGGGCTTTACAGTGTTATGTGGCATGCTCAGCTTCACTCCTCGGTTCCCTTTCCAGTATTTTTATCCACTGGAATACTTCATTATCCAGAGATCTTTCCAAATTCCCATTACTGGTTTAATTTGCCAACTTATTTTTCTTCCTTTTCTTCTGATGACTGTCGCCTTTTCCTGTTTCCTTTCATGAGATACGCCATCTTACTATGTCCCTAGCTACTCGTTTTCATCATCCATTAGAGGAGATCATCTAGGCCAACATCTGGACAATTCCTAACACTTTCATTTCATATTATCTTCATTGTCTGGCCGACTCCTCCTCCACTGGATTTTGTTTGCCTTTA